GAGCTGGAGGCCCCGCGGCGCGTCAGCCCAAGCTGTTGATGCCCTGAGCGCCATATCTCAATCAGCGAAAGAGAGACCTAGACCAAACTCTGTAGTTTTGGATATAGGGCAATATTTTGATGGAAATGCGCACCTTTGTTTCAGAACTCGCAAATTTCTACTGCTGCTTGCTGCTCAAGCAGTACCTCGTACAGGTATGCAGCAGCATCAAACGACCTTCCTCCCTTCATCATCGTACAAGAAAACAAGAATGCTACTCTTTCCCTGTTCTCCAATGAATCCCACAAGTTTCTAGAAGCACCAATAAAATAATTTGCTGCAGCAATGTGGTTTAACTATTTTGTTATAAGGGTGGACCTGGAAATTTCTCAAAAACAACTTCCCAAAAACAACTTCCCAGCTTCTTTTTTTCCACATCATAATTTTGGTTTGCCCTAAATTGAGTGCACATGCCATAGCTCAACAATTCTTCCTTGCTGATCATTTCCTATGCTATTGATGAAGTATTTAAATTTGGTAAAGTTGTTTTTTCTGGAAGAGGAGAACATGATTTTAATTCCAGTTTCAAGAAAGCTTTTGTTCATTTGAATGGTAGAGGAAGCAATTGCTATAGTGTTTTTCATACTATATCCTACTACGAGAGTCTCCACTAGTGGCATTAAATAGAGTTTGAAATTCTCCATATAAATCTATAAAGGTTTAGAAAAGTTTTTTGGATTTCAATATTTATATTCATTTTTCTTTATAATGGGCTTGCTTCAAAATTTCTCCTCTAGGTTCAGTAGAAATACTAGAGTGGCATTTGCCTGTTTCAAAGTAGCTATAGCTTTAAAACACTTGGCATCCGGGGATATATGGTGAACAATTAATGATGTATTTGGAGTGGCTTCATGCACTATGCAAGCTTGTTTATACTATTTCAAGTATCCATTACTTAAGTATGAAGGACTAATGATCCATTAGCCGGATGAAGAGGGAATTAATGAAGTTACAATAGGATTTCAGAGATTGTATAAATTCCCAAACTGTTGTGGTACAATGGATTGCACTTATATTGCAATCAAGCTCCCAGGATCATAGGATGTAATAAATTGGTATGCTAGGGCAAAAAAGTACTACTTGATGGTAGTTCAAGCCATGGTAAATAGTAAGACTTCATTCCCACCATTGTATCTCTCTCTATATTTATTTACACTTTTATCTGTAGCCACAAATGAAGTTTGGTGGTGTCGATTATTAGTTGCCTTTATTTTTTCCATCATTTATATATTGCTATCTTGAAGTTCTTGCATCATTACTTTCCTTTGCTCGTCACTTCACTCAAGAAGACTATTAAATCCCTTTGGAGTGCATTTGTTTTATTTCCCTATAGCTATTAAAACTTTCTTTTTGCCAATTTATACTTCTGAAATGTCCTTCTTAGCATCTCTAGGATCTTGTGTCTCAAATACAGCATTTGCATCTGGATCTGTAGTTGTGTTTGCCTCTAGGAAAAAGAGAAATAAAAAGTCAATTAATAAATCTAAATGAACTTATTATAGCTTGGTGCAATTGTGGAACCCATAGATGTATTAACTCAGTGGCTACTTAAAACATTAACTCTCAACTGTGTCATCCATAACATTATAGAGGCCTTTATTAAATGTATAAAGAAGCTTCATATCCTTCTTCATTCTTGTAGTAAACTCACTACTAAAATATGATGGTTTCCCTGATGGGATATTGTTCTCGTAATTAAAATAGAAAAATAATTGGAAAAAAATGCCTAGTTTAAGGAATTGAATCTAGCTTGCATTGCAAAAATACTTGGAATAAATTCAATCATTGGATTGCATGTAGGAATGCCGGGCTAAAAACCATTGTAAATTTTGCTAAACAAAAGATTAAAACCAAAGAGAAAATGAAAAGTATCTAGATCATGGCTACATTTGGCATAGATCCCAAGATAACATTAAACGAAGAGCCCTTTCCTCCCTGAACATTAAGAAAAACAAGCAAAACTTTAGAATTACAAAATTTAATACTTACATGAGTTTAAGCTATTAGTGAACTAGAAAAAGAGCCAAATTATAACTATGGATGAGGTGAAGGTGAGTGATTTTTCATTTCTTGCAAACTTCCTTCTCAAATTGTTGCAAAAATCCCTCCTAAAGCCCTCCAAGAACTCGCGTATTCATATGGTGGCAAATTAAAGTAGACAAAATTTTTAAATGATGTGGTAATTTAACCATATGACATTATTTTATTTGTGTATTTTACTAGGTTTCAGGCTCTAGAAGGGGGGACACCAGGTTCCCCCCTTGGGTACTATGTCATTAAGTGGGGGCATGGAATCTAGGGTTTAATTTCTCCCCCATGGAAAATTTCCCCCCAAGGTGAAGCATAGAACCCCACCCTAATGCCCCATTTCAACAACTTGTGGGCCTTGGGCTATGGCTACTTCACTAAATGCCAGATAATGCAGTTGTCATTTGACAAATTTTGCATATCAAATATATGTTGTGGAGGAATGCTATTTAGCATGCCCTAGCTTCCATAGCAAGCAAGCATGAAGCAATGACCAAGAATAGTACCGAGGATCAGTACTTTGATCTAATTAAAGAGCTTCATAACACCTTCTAGGTCAAGAAAATTAACTATTCTTATGATTGTGTTATCTAAGTTGAAGTTCTATTTTGATTGATGTGGCTTGATCTAAGGTGTGACATGAAAAAATTTACATTAAAGGACAATAGATATCTTGAAGAATTTGGGAATACTATCGGAAATAGTTGAAGGTGTCTACTACTTAGAAAGGGGTAAATAACGAACTCATCTTTATTGGCCTACATCACTAGTGGATTGTAAACAACTAAAGAGAACGACTTGAGAGATGGTCCATGGGGTTCAAATATAAAGGGAAAGGGCCCATGAATAAGAGTGCACCCACTTTTCCAATCGGTTAAGGGTCTTAGGATACTTGAGGTTAAGCGTCCTTAGGTTTGAATAGTACTGGGTTGGCTGACCTCCCAGGAAGTTCAGACTCAGGAGCTTACATTTGGTATCAAAGGGGTCTTGGGTCCAACTCTGTTGGTTGGCTAGGGGAATCCTACCACATATTGATTGACATTTGGTTGGTCCAACTTGCTCCCGAGGGGCGGGTCCGACTCTGTTGGTTGGCTAGGAAAATCACACCACATATTGATTGACATCTGGCTAGTCCAATTTGCTCCTGCTGGGCTCGACCCGAGGGGTAGGGTGTCAAGAGAGCGGGGCTCTCCCATCTGTTGGTTGGCTAGGGGAATCACACCACATATTGATTAACATCTGGCTGGTCCAGTTTGCTCCCGCTAGGCTCAACCCGAGGGGTAGGGTGTCAAGCTCTCGGGAGAGCTATGGCTCTTAGCTTCCATTCATGAAGATGTGAACTTGTAGGGAAGTGTGGTGGATTGTAAACAACCAAAGAGAACGACTTGAGAGACAGTCCATGGGGTTCAAATATAGAGGGAAAGGGCTTATGAATAAAAGTGCACCCCATTTTTCAATCAGTTAAGGGTCTTGGGTTTTTACCCTAAACCCCAAATAGCCTTGGGTTTGAATAGTACTGGGATGGGTGACCTCCCGAGAAGTCTAGACTCAGGAGCTTACATGGATATTTTGTTATATAGCCAGTTGCATGGCAAGCTCTACCAAGAACACAGAAGCACAAAGTCAGTAAAAGTGTTAGTGATCTAGATACATATCTAAGGACCCAATAAGCTTTTTTGTCATGCATATATACTAAGCCAAGGGGAACTAACACTTCCATTTCCGCACTGAATTTACCAATCCTTCCATTGTGAAGATTAGCTATTCCATGTGAGGCAACTAGTCATTCATGACAGTCCCACGGTAGATACCTTTGTCCGTGGATACACAATTCCTAGCCATCAATCTCCCCACAGCAAGATTAGGAAACTTTACTACACTAGTCATGGTTCCTTGTCAAGGATAGTGCTTATAGCATTGGGAATTGACATTGTTGGAGGTGACTATAGTGGTTCTAGGTGGCAGGCAAGGGTCAAAATGGTGTTTGTGTAATTGGAAGGTAAAATTTCTTTATAAAGTGAGCAAAACTAAAACTAAACTATTAATGAACTTTGGCACTTTTGTAGTGGCAATGTTTGTGCTTTACCTTTCATTTCTAAACCTCTAGGTGGCCAACTGTAGTATGAGTTCCATTGATTGGGGTGAGGATTCAATTGATTTGATAGTGCCAGTGCTAGTTGGTAATTTTATGATAATGGCAAGTAAGAGTTCCTTGTC